TATAACTTCTTCACGAGTAGAGCGATGGATGAGTGGAATCAGCTACCATCTTCACTAATAGACTGTAGGACAGTCGACGAGTTCAAAAGGCAGCTGGATGGGGTCTGAACGAGCCTGTATCCAGAGATCATGTAGGGTACCTGCTATTGACAGTAGGTGTCTATGCTGCCCATTTTCAAATAACCTCCCTTTGCAGGTACGGACGTGCCAAGGGAGACAGTTCGAAACAAAGAAATCGGCTGTGGTCAAACGGTCGACAAGAAGTTGAAGCTCCGGAAGACGGGTTTCCGACTGGAGCAAGAATCTGGACGCTCGATAGGCGAAAGCCTCTACCGTCCTGTGCAACCTGACCTGACCTGACCGTCAGTCTGCGTAAAGCCCAGATTCTCACATCTTGTCCAGTACTTAATCGCTTTTACTAGCATTATGGAAATACTGTGAAGAAGCCGGAACCGGAATAAACCCTCAAGACGTTGAAAAAGTCTGTAGGCAGCTGTTTTATAAAGGTAACGTACGCGAATGTATATTTGTTTTACTCCACAGTTTCTAAGGCCTTGTATTCAAAACAGTAACATGAGTACCGGGGATACCGTGATTGGAGTGTCTGAGAGACATTTTGTCTTGTTATCTGATGAAAATAGATTTGTTCGCAAGAAAGCACTCACAGAAATTCATGAAGTTCTCAAAACTATCTTAGATGGGAAGGATTCAAGTGCTTTCCCTTTCTCCGCCTGTGCTTCACGCCTTACGAACACACTGAATGACCCTATCGAAGTTAATCGTGAACTAGCTGTGCAAGTCAACCGAAGTTTCCTAGAATGCGCTCCAGATATTTCAGTGGTTTTGCCTTCGTTATTTCCGGTTCTCGTTAAGCGACTTGGTGAAAAAGAGTTAGTGGAACCTTCGGAGGAACTGCGTCTCGAGTGCTTGAAGCTGTTTGGTCTGGTTATGAAGAAAACAGTGGATCTTAATCCATATGTAGATGATATGCTGATTATTCTCAAGCAGTCACTCATGGATGCGTTCCATGAAGTGAAAAAGCTGTCGTGTACGATTTTGCAAGACCTAGCTTCTGTGAAATGCCATCGGTTTTATCAAAATTCGGAAATTATTTTGAATCCCCTGCTGAGTAACTTGGTTCATCAGCATTCAAAAGTGCGCATGGCTACTGTTTCGGCTATTGGTCATGTTCTGATGAATAGTCAAGGCAAATTGGTCGATCAGGCGGTAACTCCCTTGACCCAACGCCTATTTGATACCGCGACCACCGTCCGGAAAAGCGTGATAGAGGTGATAGGAGTGTGGTTGCTTGATCTTCCGGACCGCTATTCGTATCACACAAAGCTCCTCCCTTTGATGCTTTCTGGTTTGATCGATAGTTCAGAGGAGATAAAGAGTTTGACAGAGGACTACTGGCACGATATCGGTAACTTCATGGCATTTAAAACGTTCTTATGACTGTAGGTCTGAAATTTCAGAAAGAAAACGAAGAACAGCTGAAGGATAAACTAGATTTTGATCAAGGGACCCCATTTCATTATCCTTTAGGATGTAGACGTCCAAACGCCGGTAAGTTTCTCTTACCAATATACTCCCCTGGATTTTTGTATTTTCCGAGTTTTTGCTCACTGGTTGAACTAGAGGTAACTACTTATAGTTGTTGACACAGAATAGCTCGAGGTTGATCAGAAAACGTCGAACATTTTGAGATATATATCTTTGCCACCGGCTTGAAAACAAGCATGGTGCCAACGCAACAACGATAACAACAATGACAGTGAAAGGGGATAGGTGGATTAAGATACAGAACACAGTGAAAAGTGGATGAAACATGGGAACATACAAGATAACAGAATTTTTTGTGTGTACACCTTTCGCAATTTTT